CCCTTGGAAAAAAGCCATGGCAGTTTCATTTACTGATTTTAAATTAAGCTTCCAAACGTCATAATAAATCAAATTCAGGTTGGATGGCTTACAAGAGTCTTATAATTGGAGGTAGACGGGGGCTTCTATTCGAATCAAGAACGAGAAATCCAAAGACCACTACAAAGCTGATTCAGAACAACGTGTATTGTTTTTTAAACATAACAATATTTCGGCTGGTCATACCAGCCTTCTTCAGGTTTACAGATGTTAATTTAATCATTTTCGATTTAAATGAATTTTATGTTACAAGTAGGTGGGCCCATATACAGCCCTATATATAGGACTAGGGGCTTTTAAGAGGGGAAGCTTATAAAAGGCAGTTTAAGCTACTTTCATTTGGGGCGGTAGCCTACATGTAGCCGCACCCTCCCCCCATTGACTAAGGAAAAACGGAGAGCGGAGGGGGGGGGGAGGGTTGCGACTACATGTAGGCTATTAGAGCGGCGGCTCGTTCCCCCCACTACATCATAGTTTTATTTTTTTTATGTTTATGGAGAATATTTCCAACCGAGATAGTTTGTCTAAATAGTAAGTCCCCTTAAGAACTAGGTTTCGGTTTTTAACAGTTGCCGAGAATTACGAAATTTAGAAGTTTAATCCTGCATATGTAGAGAGTTTTCACTCATGTGGTAAGCAGATTAGCGCCTTTCAGAGTCTCTTCGCACCTCTCTGTTTGTGTGAGTGTGTGCCTTTGATCGTGAAAAAAAAAGCTCAGAGTAGAAAGGCGCAAAAAAAATAAAAGCTCACTCATTCAATTGTCAGGATTCGGAACCGCGCTTCTCCACCAGCTGTTAGCTTCGCGTGCCGGAAACTTCACCACGCAGCCAAGGAAACAAAATACAAGATACATTTGATCTCTGAATATTATCAGTCGCGATCACGCATCCCACCGTCTGAAAAACCAACACTTCTCACGCGATCTCAAGTAGAAATAACGGGAAAAAAAGAAACCTGTGAAGCTAATCGTGCAAACATATTTTGTGATTTTGTGTGTAACTATAACTGTTTATTAATTGTGGCAAAGTTTACAGAAAGCAATATCCACTGCCCGCAGTTAGCAGATTAGCTTGTCGCGGCGAGCAGTGATTACACTTATGTAATATATATACAAATAGATCACAAGAAAGACTAGAGAAAAAGAGTAAAAAAAAATGTTCAATAAATAAACAAATAAATAGAAATAAATTTAATTTCGTTAAGTTTACAATCATGTACTTTGCAAATATTAGAAGCCGAGCTTTTAGGAAATTTTTGTTATTAAGTCGGGTAAATCAATATAATCATTTTCTTCTTAAAGTATTCGGAGTAAAGTGTCCTGGACATTAATTTTAAAGTTATTTTTGGACACTTAACGCATTTCACACGGTAAACTATTCCAGATTTTTACACCATATCTTGAAAGAGACTTCGTTTGTCTAACCTTGAGTGTTTAACATAATAGTCACCTCTTGAAGATGATCTTGTATTATATGAATGAATAAGTTAGACATGTTAGTAGGTGTTAAGCTGTTAGATGTATCATGTATTAGAATAGCAACGGATTTAAAGTAGAGTAGATCCATGGATAATAGGAAGACCCAGTCCTTCTATGATATCCATGGTAGATCTAAGGGAAGAAAAATAAGGTACTGCATGAGAATTGTAGTCACCAAAGAACATAAGGCGGAGGGCCCGTTTTTGAAGAATGAGAATTTTGTTTATGTACGTTTTAGCAGCATGGCCCCAAGCGACTATGCCATTCAGTAAGTAGGGCTGAATAAGAGATATGTATATCTGGTGTAGAGTATTCAGGGGTGCAAAGTGTCTAAGGCTGGCAATAACGCCAATTATCATTCGAAGCAAATTGTTCTTTCTTTTCATTGGCCAAGAGCCCACCACGTGTCCTGCAAATAACTACCTACAAATAATGGTCTGCTCATGCGCAATGCCGTCCAACTGTGTTTGGCTGCAAATAATATTCTGCACATGCGTAAAGGAAACCGTGCCTTTCTCCTTATTGCGATCGCTCTTGCGTGAAAATGGCAGATCGCTTCGCTTCTCGAGGATACTCATTAAAAAAACAAAGTCGGTGATCGAATGATAAAACAATTATTGAACTCGGTTATCGCAAAATATCGTGATTTGTCAGTGTCTCGCAGATCAATTATTTCCCGAAGTCGAATTGATCTGCTCGCTACAGACAAATCACGATATTTTGCTCAACCTCGTCAAATGATTGCTAATTGTTTTACTTATTTTTGAAGCGATGTGAGCGATATGGTATTTCCAATAAATATTTTCATCAATAAGCACACCTAGATATTTGACATAATTTTTGCTTTTTAAAGAAATGTATGAGTTGTTTTGATGATCAAATACTTTCAAGTTGACTTGGTGATTTAACTTTTTTGTCTTGGTTTAAGAATGACAAAGTTAGATTTTTTTTATATTTAGTGATAATTTATTTGCGATTAGCCAGTTATAAACCCTAAAAATTTGTGCATTAACTGTAGATTCAAGCAATTTGAGATTTTCGTCAGCATATAACAAATTGGTATTATCAGCAAATAAGTAGAACTTCAATTTATCAGAGCTGTTACACATATCATTTATATAAATAAGGAATAGTAAGGGTCCTAGGACCGATCCCAGTGAGACACCTGATAACACTACTTCCTTTTTGGATATGTTTTTAGGACCAATTTTTGTCTTTTTTTGACGACCCACTAGGTATGATGCAAACTAGTCATTAATCATTCCACGTACTCCATAATGATTTAATTTTCTTAATAATATTGAATGATTTGCTGTGTCAAAGGCTTTTTGCAAGTCAATGAACACACCACATGAGTACAACTTTTTATCCATGTTAGTTTCAGTTATATTAATTATGTCTAAAATAGCATGCTCAGTAGACTTTTTTACACGAGAACCATATTGTGAAGCATGACGAATGTTGCACTTCTCATTAAATGACTTGAGGCGATTATACATTATCTTTTCGAAGATACGGTTAAAGATGGAGAGGAGTGATATGGGTCTATGATTGGAGGGGTCAGTTTCATCACCACTTTTGTAAATTGGAATTACTTTGGCAAGCTTTAATTTAGATGGATAGGTTCCAAATTCTATTAATTTACTGATGATCATAGATAGAGGTTGGCTTATAATGTGTTTAGCCAATCTCAAACTCCGAGTGGGAAATGAATACGGCCCTTGTGCCTTGTTTAGTTGAATAGTCATTATTTCAGAATCAATTTCACAAGGAGATACAGGGTTAAAAAAGAATGAACTAGCAAAGTCTAACTTTGGTAGATAACCAGTAAATTGCTTTGGTGAATTTGCTTTGGTGAATTTTCTTTTGCACAAAAAGAAAAATAAAGTAGAAGGAGCGTGACCGAAATCCGCCGGCTGCTTTTGCAAATTAATTGGCGCCAAAAAAGGGCGCACTTTTTAGTTTAATTTCTTTCTTTGAGTCATTCGGCATATATTACATTCCACATAATTATGTCATTCCGCAAGCCATGCCACATGCCATTTCGCAAACTCATTCAACCTTTTACCGTCAAAAAACTACGCGGATCAGAGAAAAGAACCGGCAACAAACATTGCGATTGGTCTACTCTAGATTCTCTTACTGGGTATAGAAGTTCTTCATTTCGAGCAAATGCATTCATTTTGGGGTCTGGTTCCTGTTTATAAAAATTCCATTCGGTTTTGCCTAAGTGGCCATGTGTGTGAAACTCTATATTTTTCCTCGGAGTGTAGTTGCTTTAATAGTTATTAATTGCGGGAACGCCTTTTGCAAAAGTTACCAACAACAATAAGCTTTATTTGCATGACTATAAAAAACTGCTACAGTATTGCAAAAGCTACTGACCAAAAATTGTTGATAACGTTTTATGTTGATTACTATGGCTTATACTAAAATAAAAACCTAATGTTTTCTAAACAAAGTCAAGGGAAACACTTGGACTCGAGAGAAAACAAAACTGTTTCCTTCAAAACTTGGCATAAAGTGTATATTCTTCCACATGGAGTGAAAGCGAAACCGTCCCAGAGACTCGAATGAATGAAACGATGGCAAAAACTATCGCTCTTAATAAAAAACTTTAATAAAAGGACGAACATCTTAACTCGTGGGCGGGGAAACCGTTAGAAAGAGACCTTGCCCGAGATTGTAACAACATTTGATGAACTGAACCTGACTTGTTCAATCAAATCTGTATAATTGAAAGTGTTTTCCTGGGAGTTAAAGTTACTGCAAATCACCTCCATAACCATAACCTAATCAGACAGCGGCACCCAACGACTCTTTTCTGTAAAATATCTATTCGGGCAAGCAAATGTTGCCTTCAACTTTCTATTACTTGAGAACAGCTAAAAATTTCTAGACGACCATCCCCTTCATTTACAATTTTCTAAACTTATCCGATAAATTCCCCATGATTTTCTGAAGTTAAATTTTTTACATTTTACTTCCCACGTTAGGCTATTTTTCGTATAAAAAAAGGAACCCTAAAATTTTCGGATTCGAAAATTTGAGTGAGAGAGGAATCAGAAAATGTTCATTTTCGTGATACGTTACCGGTAAATTGCATCTAAAAATTTCGAGAGAAAGATAGTGGAGCAATTGTAACTTCGAAAAGACTTAAGTTCGCCCAGAATGACCGAACAAATACAATTTTATAGCGCGCCTAGAATGCAGTTTCTAGAGCTCTGGATAGCCTAAAAAGTGTTTTCAATGTATTTAGGAGAAAACCGTCGTTGGTGCCCCTGATCAGATTGATGATCGTGATGTTTAGCTTTTGAACATACTCCTTTGTTTCGCACTTAGGGCTCCTACCAAAAAAAATATCTGATTCATTGACCAGCAACTGGAATCGTAACACTCTTTCTCGCTTTAACCCATCAAAGCTCTATAAGCGAGTAGACAACAAATTCAGGAAGAGTCAGCATATAACACAACACATAGCAAAATGGGAAATGGTTACTTAGCTCAAAGAGGACAGCGGATTCTGACAAAAACAAATCTTCGTAACGCACTGCTCATTGGAGTTTTCTCGAGCCTGCTGCTTGTTGCATATTACCTACTTCAGAGCTCTCGACGACATCACAAGAATGATATAACCTGGAAAATAAATCCATATTTCACCAAACAAGAACCTTATCGTCGACGTTTCTCATGTTTGCTCTCTCGCAAACGTTGCGACCAAAACGCATTCCTATTAATCTTGGTGCTTTCTGCCCCTGCTAACTCGGACAGGAGAACAGTCATTCGGAGGACTTGGGGGAATGATCGATCACTCCAAATGAGATGGAAGACCGTGTTTCTCGTTGGTCAAACTTTAGAAAACAACAATCAGAGTGAAAATATGGCCGCCGAGGGTACGACATACGGAGATATCATACGAGGAAGTCACACTGACCATTATTACAATTTAACTCTGAAGACGCAAATGGGTCTCGAGTGGGCGGCAGGATATTGCGATTTCAGTTATCTCCTCAAAGTGGATGATGATGTATTTGTTAATCCCTATAACTTGTTGGACCACCTGGAAAAGCCTGACACCCAAGTAACTAACCTTTACATGGGACGCTGTTTCCACAACGCGCCTGTTCTACGTGTTGGCAACCACCGAATAACCAGAGAAGAGTACAGTGAGTCTACTTTTCCAACTTACTGCAACGGGCCAGCGTATTTGTTATCGTCAGATTTAGTCCACAAATTAGTGGAATTATTTGACACTTATACCCCTTTTAGACTCGAACATGTTTATATAGGCATGTTAATACGTAATATATAGATTTAGCCAGGGCTAAAAGCGAGGCTCCCATTAGTAAATTTATAATTTAAATTAAATAATAACCTTGTATTCGAATTCCACAATTCAGTTAACTTTAGAGCACATTTATGTGACTTTTGAGGGAAAGGCTACCTGATTTTAGAGAAAAATAATTTGCAAACAGCCCAAGAGTGAACCAAATCTTACATCGAGTTGATAGCCTCATATGTACACTCAAAAACTGGTAATCATCTTTTATCACATTTAAGAGCCGTAATGGCTATTGACAGCTATTGATCACCGTAGATCAATTAGGCTTAGAAAAAAAATCAGGCCAACGTTTTGGCGTTCGACAAGTTTACTTTGCAAAATCTTGCCAACAAATCTGGGTGCGTGTAAACCAACCTTTTATACCATGGACAGAAAGCAGTATTTCACAATACAAATTGCTCTCATTCAATATTCATAAACTGTTAAAAAAATTTTCCAAAATCACCTATACGGCCATCCGGTTCTCACTTTTGTAGTGCGAGCTGTAGCGAGTGTTTGAATGAACATTAACAGAGTTACGCTCCAAGATAATAAAGAATTTATCATGTTTATTTTTTATTTGATGGTTTATCGAGCGGCATTTTGAGAACTCCTGCAAGCGATGTTCACTGAACGACTGAAAACAATCGGCATAGCGATTAAAATTGCAAGAGAGACTACTAACAATCAATAAAAGAAATATAATTCGGTTAGACATAAACAGAGACAACAATTTTCATTCAGGAAGACAAGTATTAAAGTGTCCCTAAATATCCTGAATCTTCAAGCTTCAAGCTTAAGTTTGCTGAAGTTTATGTTTTAAGCCAGCTTCCCGGTGTTTGTTTTTTCAAAGACGAACTCGAGGCAAGAAAATCGCTCAAAGCTTTCTTTTCCGGCTAGAATTATAACTAAAGATTCTTTGGAACATTTTCTTTCTATTTGCGGTGAGAAACTGTCTAAAGGCTTTTTAAAGTTCTGTAAGATTATATCAAACCAGATACTCGGTGAGATCGTTGTCTCAAATCTTACAAACGCGCATAAACTAAATTCCCGCATAAACTACGCTCCACTTCATTAAATTAGATACAAAAAACAAACATGAAATACAATAATTTCTCTGGCTTACCATTCGAGATGCAGCTCCTGAAAGTTATCAGGTAAAGCCAGTATCGCTTCAGACTTTGCAATCCTCTTACGCATCAAGCAAGGTGAAAACGAAAACGATGCCATCCGAAATCGGATTTCCGACTTTGACAAGCGACGTTTTCTCAACCAAAACCCAATAAACAAACTAGCCATGAGTAACAGAAGACTCCTGATAGCAGCTGAATTTCATTTTGTACATCCAGTGGAAAAAGACAGTTAAAAACATCACAAGTTGACACAAAACTCTGTCAGCTTCAGCTGTTAAAGTAAACAAGATTCAAAATGCTGCATAAATTTTGCGCATGAACTCACCTGTCAAATTTTGACCAATCAGAGCATAAAAATTGGACGTAGAGCGTGACCAACGCGTGACCATTGTGAGAAAAAACAAAAGCAAATGTCTTCCCTGCCTGTAACAGCTGGCTGAATTTTCACGTCCAAGGTCAGTTTGCAATCAAAATTTTAATTGTGCAGCACATAAACACAACATATTTCATATGAATTAAGAAAAAAAATTGAACTTGAGCCTGCGATCACTTGAAAACTAGTTTACTTGTCAGCGGATAACTTCAAAAAGTACTTGATCTCGACGGGTCGACACCTGAGCCCGCGATACGGTCAAGTGATACTGGTCAGCGGGTACTCTGTTTTGACAGCTGTCAATTGATCAAAACATTGATGTCCAATATGCGTGCATTATCAGTTTTCCTGTGCTCCCAAACTAGTAAAAGTATGAGATTGAACGTTGTTCGCGATCTAGTAAAACAGTTAACTGGTCAGCGGACAGCTTCCAAATAAATCACGTCACCTCGATGAGTTGACACATGAGCCCGCGATATGGTCATGGGATACTGGTCAGTGGCTATCCTGTTTGGACAGCTGTCAATTGACCATATTGTTAATGTCCTATATTAAAGATGTGGACTTGCCAAGACACGCCTGAGACACCCCTCCCTTCCTTTTGATAGTCTCCCCTACCCCACCCATACAATCTGTAGACGCGTACGTACGTACGTACGTACGTACGCTCGGTCAATCACGTGACAACCAAACGAAAAGAGGTTGACCATATTCCATGGGTATGGGGCTCTGTCCCACGCGCGCTTCGCGCGCGCGGGAGCCCCGCTAAAATAGGTGGAGTTGAGGCTGTAGGTCACTCAGGCTTTCGCACTCAGGAATTTGGTGAGCCGTGCAAACATTTTCCAAATATGTTTGCTTATCACGAAGCTTCCGTAAAGTGTTCGGAGGAATTGTTTGAAGAAGGGATCAAAGAGAGACTAGCTTTAGAATTTAGCAAATTGAGAAATGCTACAGGCTAAAATGGTTTGAAATAAGTAGAAAATAACGATTTAGCGGTGATCTACTTAGAAGATGACAAAGAAGAACATTTAAACCAGGATTTTGATAGCAAATTAAACCCAATTAAGACAAGTTGTGATAGAAGCAGTAGTAGAAGCAGCGTAATAGTGAATAACTTCCTAAAACAGAATCAGTTAGAATCGACAAAGAATACTATTCTATTGGTCCAATTGAATTGGACCAATCAGGGGTGCTTTTAGCTTGAAGAACGATCTTGACACCGCGTAGAAAAAAAAACTCTTACGAAGAAATATTATTTCTGTTAATAGTGTCAATTGTAATAATAATAATAATAATAATACTTATACTATTACTACTTCTATCAATAATAATAATAATGACGATGATGGTTTACTAATAGCATTTTCATTACAACATAGCTCTACATCTGTTGGGAAATATAATGCCATAGTTTATGTAAATGCAAATAAGCATTATGTTAAAAATAATCAATGAATAATTAAATTCTCAAATGCGGCTTCTGTGCTTATGCCTATGACTGATTTCTTCCTGTGGGTTCAAAAAACATAACTAACAAACAAACTACATAAATAAACAAAGACTTAGAAGTAACACGTCCCCTCAGTCCAGTTGTTGTTGTTGTTGTTTTCTTCTATCTGCTTTCTGGTCGAATTGGAACTTCGAGATGTTAGTTTTTGAGAAAAGGGGAAATAATAATAATAATAATAATAATAATGGAATTTATATAGCGCTTATACATCGCTGTTCTAAGCGCTTTACAATGTAAAAAAGGACATAAGAATATCATTAAGCACAAGCTTACATATAACCCTACTGTACATATTGGGAAATTTATAGCATACACATCTTAAAAAGGAAAGAAAACAAAAACAAATATGATGAAAGTAGATGTCATATACCTTTTTAAAAAGAAACGTTTTCAACTTCGATTTAAAAAGATTAACATCAGAACAAGCTCGGATTTCAAAGGGGAGCTTGTTCCAAAGAAATCCGGATTATACAGAAAAAAAAGACACTCTCGAAGCAAAGGAGAGAACCAGCAACAAACGTAACCCACACATGGCGCCGATGCCTGCATTTTGGGCGTAGGTCACATAGGTCGGAGGTGAGCGCTCTCATCACTGCGAAATGGAGCAAGCTAGGGTGGCGTACATTCGATATGAGCAAGAAAGATTGATAGAAGGAAAGCCATAAAATGTGCTCATAGAACCTCAGACAGTACAAGCTGCTACTGTTCCTCACTTTTACAGGAAAGCGTCGTTACAACGATTCGACGTTAAAGAAAAAAAGAAACAACAAGAAAGTTGACAGTTGAATTATATTAAGGTTCTGGAAGAGAATTATCGGACTCCGGGATTTTACCGAAGTACATACGTGTATAAACGCAACATTTATTGACTGGATAGGGAGTTCCCAATAGGGTTCTTCAATCCCGTAATCCCGACTCCACATTTCGTGCAATCACGTAATCCCAATGTTTCTTTTTTTTCGGCATGCCACCTCCAGCGATAGTTTCAATCCCGAATCTCGCCCGGATTTTTCTTTAAAATCCCGAATCCCGAGATTCAAACAAGAGAATTCCCGGATCCCGAAAGATCTCTTAAACACTGGGCGCGATCCATTCAACCAAAATTCAGACCGGTCCGACCGGAAAAAGAGGACCACCTCAAAAGGTGGACCTGTTTTTTCGAAACTTTTCCGGTTGGACCGAACCGATCCATTGAGTTTTGGACCGAAATTTCCGGAAATTTTGGTTGAATGGATCGCGCCCACTATCTGGGTAGGGATTTTGCCGGTCGGAAAACGGGACTCGGCAAAGTCTCGGCCAGGGATGCGTTACGGAAAAGAAAATGGTGTTTGCAATAGAGATGATGATTGTCGCAAAAAAAAATGAATCTGGAATGCGGGATCAGATGCCTCTTTCCAGAAGCTGTAACAACGATGCTTTCCTTTCCGTCTTGAAATTCGGAATCCATGGAAATAAGTAGTTTTGGTTTTTGCTTCTGTTTTTCTTTTCACAGGAGAAGAAGCAGCCTTCTGTACAGTGTGCCGACAACAAATGTGATTGGCGCCAAATCTGAGACAACTGAAAAAGGTACACACCGAATTTGAAGAAAACGAAATCTGGGAAAACTTCTGTCAAGAGAGTGATGTGGGTTGTATGTTACAAGCTAAACATTCAGCTGGCATTTCGGTTAGTCATCTTGTTCACTACCTCGGTCATTACTTATGTTTTGATTTCTCAAGAACAAATTCTCTACCGTAGTTTTGCCGCTGACAAGGAGCCGTCCCACAATATTTTCAACAACAACACGCAACAATTAACCCCATTGAAACTGGGCACACGCAGTGCATCCCAGGCCAAAGAGTGGGGAAGCATTCCACATCGAACGTATTTGATCTCACGCGCACCATGCACCCAAACAATATTCCTTTTGATTGTGGTGGCATCAGCCCCTGGTAATTTTGATGCGAGAGCAGTTATTCGAAGAACATGGGGAAGTGATATGTATCTGGAAAAACGATGGGCAACCGTGTTTTTAATCGGCCAAGCCAAAGATAGGAACCAGAATGATTATTTGGACGCTGAAGCTGTGATATACGGAGACGTTATACGAGGGAGTCACAACGATCATTACTACAATCTAACCCTGAAGACACAAATTGGTATAGAGTGGGCAGCAAGATACTGTGATTTCAGATTTCTGTTGAAAGTGGATGACGACGTCTTTGTCAGCCCTCGAAACCTGATTGGTTATCTGAAAAGGCCTGAGACCCCAAACGTCAACCTTTATATGGGATATTGTTTCTACAACGCACGTGTATACCGTTTTGGTAGATATGGTGTATCCAAGGAAGAGTACAATAAAACTAAATACCCAGATTACTGCAACGGACCAGCATATCTGTTGTCATCAGATCTGGTAGACAAGCTTGCAGAATTGCTTGACACCAAGAATGTATTTAAAATGGAGGACGTTTACGTAGGATTATTACTGGAGAACATAGGGGGAGTGAAAGCCACCCACCATTCAGAATTTCTAACTCGACGACATTATTCATGCTCTCACTTCCCAAATATGTTTGCCTATCACAACTCGGATCACCGCTTAAAGTGCCTGGAGGAACTGTTTGAACAAGAGACAAAGAAAATGTTTGAGTACGAACTAAATGAACTTTCCAAAGTCAAAGCGTAGATAATGTTGGGTAATGTATAAAACTTTGGAAATGGCAACATTTTTATTGTGTGGGGTTGTTAAGGTAACTCGTTAGCTACACGAGAAGGTATCGAGACTCTCATTCTTTCATCTTGACTTTAACAACGAAAATACTGCAAATCTCATAAAGAGTCACCAGGTGGCACCCACTGCGAGGGTGTAAATTAACCGCCTGCATCTATTCTGATTTTCGCGGCGGAAAATGGTCAGTGTGACACGATCTCCAATGACCCTGAAAGAGAAATACTCCAGTGGAGATAAACTTAGCCTCCCACGCAGGCATTTTTAGGGGAGCTCGTATTTCTTCCCTCCCCGGGAGGGAAGAAATACGAACTCTCCTAAAAACGCCTACGTGGGAGGCTAAGATAAACTAGGAAAAAAAACAAACACCGAAAAATGAACTTATCTCTTGGCAGTGAAGTTTTTTTTGTCCATTATCTCCTCTTCGATGAAGGCACGGACTTATGCGCAATTAAATTTTGTAAACTGAAATTACAGAAACAACAGAAATAGCCTGCGAGCAAGCTCTCCTATTTGGGCAAGCGAAGCGAGCCTCGCGAGAACCCGCTCGCTCGCGCGTTCTCGCGAGACTCGTTTCACTCGCCCAAATAACAGAAAAGCCATGTACATTCGAGCGAGCCACATATCTCCCTATTCCTTCTATCTTCGGCTTCTCCTCAACGATTTGAAGATCTCAACTGTAATTTCTAATGGAGTGTATTTTGTTTCTTATTCATCCTTCTTTCCTTTTTGCGTATTTACCCTATTTATTTTATGTCAATCATGCATGCCGGCTCGTAGGGCCTATTTTAATCAAATGTTTTTCGTTAAGGGAATAAAAAATATTTTACTCTTTAATCTAATACTATGCGCGCTATTATATTTCACTCGGGTTATATTCATTAAATCAGCCCCCCCTGCAACATACATCAAATACATCAATTCATTAGGTAAACATTCCAACTCAGTGCTAGTTTACTTTAAAATAGTTTCTGCCGTCCGCTACCCCATCTGGCAATGGTGTCCGTAAAAGTCGTACCGGATAACTGCAGATGCCGGGTGCGGAATAGGATACGGATGGAAAACAACCTCGTCCCCCGGGCTTTTCCGTAAAATTTTTTTTTTTAGGTAAAAGCCCTAGGGACGAGGTTGGATAGAAAAAGGCTGATAAGAATTGATATGGCTATCGAAAAAAAAATGCAGGTAAAAAAGCACAAGTAAGAAGAATGAAACGAAAATCGGATAGCGAAAAAGCAAAACAAAAGCAACGAAGAAAAAGGAAAGAAATCGTGCTTTAAAATTACTGTCTCTTCAAGCATAGAACGCGATGTCAACAGTTGTCATGGTTGTCACAGGTTCAAGGTATTGTCTCGGTATTAAGCTTGCGTGAGCGCACGTATGCTCTGACGCACCTCATCTTTGAGCACCTAACAAAACACTTGCAGGTAGAGTGAACAGCCCAAAAAATCGGCCAAGAAAGATTCGCCTGTTTTGCGCTTGCTTTGTTTAACGTCCCTTTTCCGAATATGAAGCCCTGCAGGCTGCAGCCACTAGGGCACAATGCAGAATATTACTGGACAGGAATCCGTCACGGTTATGGCCCGGGGGGGGGAGAGGTACTCAACAACTTTTTATATTGGGAGGGTGCGCCCCGAGGTTCAACCCCTTACCCTTTTGTATACCATTTTTTTCACGAAAAAAGGTACCCCTTTCGTATACCTTCTATTGACAAATGGTACCCTCTCACATACCTTGTATAGAACCAAGAGAGGATCCTCTCTCGTTAGAACTTTGTATCCCTTTTTACCACTGTCAATGCACGGTCTTTTGAATAGTTATCGGTCACCAAAAAAGAATCTGTTGGCCCTTTTAGGCCCTTCCACAGACCCAATTGACAGATTTTCTTATCCTTTCGTATACTGCAATGAGTAAAATCCCTACCCTTTCCTATACCTGAGGCATAAAAAAGGCACCCGTTTCGGAAGGAGCCTCCCATTTAGCAACAGAACGAGAACGTCATTTGACGACGGGAAAGCACGCGGTAAGGACTAAACTCGACTTCCCCTTCCTAATTTGCCGCTGTGCCATTGGTCAAGCCAGTTAGCTCCTGTTGTTTGATTTGCACGCGCCGTCGTCAACTGACGTTCCTGTTCTGTGGGAGTACACCCCCGGGGGTTATGGGCTCCTGTACTAGATCAGTATTCAAGAGTAGGCGTACTGCAGTAGCTGTTTAGGGACTTGTCAGAAATTAGCAGGGGGGGGGGTGTAAATTTTAAATTTGGGTTCAGAAATGAGGTGACCCATCCCTGCAATGGGAGTGAAATTTGCTAACCCTCCCCTTGACCTTGGCCTAAAATATCATGACCCTTCCCCTCTTGTATAAATTATAAAATCTAGGGCTTGCAATACACTAGGGTGAGTCAGTATTATAAAAGCTTAAAGTCTAATCTGTTCTTTGTAATGTCATATACATAGATTTTAGATGACAGCATTAAGAGTCTGACTCTGATTCTGACAGCTGATCACTCGACTCTCCTATTTCTCCCAAGTTTTTTTCCAAAATAAAGAACTTCTTTTTTCTTCTGTGGGTGAACCTCTACATGATCAGGGACACATGACCCTCCCCCTTTTAACAGCTCATTTTTCATAACTCCTCCCTTTTCTGCAGTCTCAAAAAGTTGTGACCCTCCCTCTGTTTCCACCCCCCCTCCTAATTTCTGACTAGTCCCTTAGACATGTCTTCAGAAAACAGACCTGGAAGTTTTTTGTTCGTACCAGATGTAAAATCAGCTGAAAAGGTGCTCCACGAGCATGAGTTGGATACGACAACAAGGTTTGTTATGTACTACAACAACGGTTTAGGCAAAGGTAAGCTTAAATGTACGGTCAGAGTATTCTGTGACTTTACTAATTATTGGTTTGTGTACACCAAAATGGAATATCCGGGTGCAGAATATTGCATGTGGCACAGAAGAACCCTTTTTTGGGGGGGGGGGGGGGGGGAGGGGGGAACAAACAAAAAAAAATCCTAGCAATACCATAATAGGTTTTTAAATACAAAACAAACTAACGGGATAATAATGATGATAATAACAACAATGTTAATTGAATAATGCATTAGATGAACAATAAACTTAATATCCAAATAAAAGACAAAAAAATGGAAGAAAGGTTCAAATAAGAAACAGAAATATCTTGACAAAAGAGGTTGTGATTGTAGGTGCCCTGGGCCAAAAACATTTTGTGCAGCCATATAAAATTCAAAGGGATGAGGAAAGATGCCTTCACTCTTCATGCCTCCTGCCTGCTGAAAATGGCTACAGGACACTGATAAAATCTATACCAGGGTCAGTTCAGAGCAGAAACATAAACTTACGGAAAAAAATGAACTGTGAAAGCTTATATATATGTACAATATTATATTAAGATTAGGCCTTGCTTTGTTCCACAAAATGAGCAAATGAAGGGGAAGAAGGTGTTTTTTTGAAGATCCTCAGTCTGTAACCTCCCAATCAAGGGTCAAATATGATGGAATTCCATTCATCATAACAGGAAAACGAGTATATGATTGGCATCAGGGCATTGACAGACATGCAGCAGATAAAGAAAGAAGAAATACTTCCCAGGTTATTTTCACTTTTTTTCAGTTAAGGGACTGGTCATTATTTATGTAGGGGGGGAGGGAGGGAAAAAAGAAGGGGGGTCAAGGCTGTTTTAGATTGGCTAGAGGGGGGGCTAATTTTTTCCAACAATTAATAGGGGGGTCATGATTTTTTAGGTTTTGTAAGGGGTCTTGTCTGTGCTTTTGCAAATGGGATTACTTTTACGATATAAATTAACTTCAAAGATGCAGGTGGTGAAGATGGACAACCCAGTTAGAAGAATATTGTCAAAAACTTCATTGCTTTAATATTTCACACTTTAATAAAAGACAAATCCAGATCAGCCAGTTTACAAAGGCAACATAGTTAAAATTAGGAATCAGAAAGTGCAAAAGCAGAAGGGCTACAATGACTGTGCACTCTTTGCTATAGCCTTTGCCACCACTCTATGCCATGGTGGTGACCCCACCACCAAGAGATATGACCAGAGAGCCACGCGCCTGCACCTTGTTGATTGCCTGGAGTCTTCAAGGATGACCGAGTTCCCACCAACTAATGATACAGTTGAGCTTGTTCATCCTGTGGTAGGCAAAAATGTACCTATTTACCGCACATGCCAATTGCCTAACAACAACGCTGCTTATGTCAAGTGTTGTGGATGCTGTGAGTGGTACCATCCAGATTTTGCTAATATCTCTGAATCTGCATTCCATCCAACAACAAAATGGTTGTGCTTTGAATGCAACCAGAAAAACACAAACACTTAAACTCATGTGATATCAAAACAAGTCTTCCTGTTGTGAGCAAAAACCTTTTCCCTTTTTACGGTAGATGAAGCAATTCTTTCAGGAAATCGTATATTACATTAATATAAAAATAATAATTACACCTGTAACAAAGTATTTATTAGGTTGTTGTGGCTGTACTAGAAATATTGTGTAAATTTAAAACTTGACATACATTGAAAGCTTCTTTCTCTGGTTTGATCAGTTCAATAAACAGCAGAGACAGAACTTTTTTTCTCAGCTGTTACAAAAAAAAAAAATAACTTAGAGATGGAAAAATTGCCAATTTTTATAACTTCCAAGGATGTAAGGAAGAAATTAGATGTGAATTTTAAGCCTTAGGAGAATCTCTTCTCTTTGATGAATCCTTTTGGAGGAAAAAAATTGTTTATTTATCACAAACAATGAGTCACATGCCTGTGGCTAATGAACAGTCAAGAAAGAAAAAACAAAATTAATACAAGGTAATGCAAAAAGAAACCACCACAACTTGGCATACTAACAGATTGTTGTATCCCTCCTTTTGTTAGTGGCACTGGTGATTCGTGATTCTTAGTTATTTTGAATAACTTTTGTATGTGAATTCTATCAATCATGTGTTGGATGGTTTCATGTATAGGCGAGCAATGAGAAAAACACCCATGTCCATTATACTTTTACAATGTGACCATTGAATAAAAGGTTTACTATCCAACTAAATAAAATCACATCATGTTTGCTTTGTCTAGTCCTTGCATGCTGTTGTGTGCGGTCATTGTGTGTGTTTTGTCCTCCTTCAATGGCAGAAAAAAATTGGGCTATCACATTATTTTAATAGCCACACCCTCTTCCCAGTTGACAACATCTAATAAACTTCCCTCTTACTCCTGAGGAATTCTATTAGACTGCATTCACCCGGGAGACTTCCTTAAGATATGAATTTACCCCTGAGGAACTTACTGAACAGTACTTTTTTTCCTAATAAAATTCCATGAATTCTTTGTTTACCCTGAATAACTCCAATGTTTAAGAGTATTCCCCAAGGATTTCCAAAACTATTACAACATACCCCCTAGAGAATTCCAGTGATCTTTGCTCACTTCCTTAACCAAAGGGGAGAGCTGATATCAATTATGCAATAGTCCATTTCAAACTGGGATTGTACATTGCAATACAGAATTTGCACATTCCCTTGGTAGTCACTTAGTATGGTGAAATGGCATAAGATTGAAATAACAGGTAATGTCAAAGAAGAGGAGTGCCGGCCAACACTGGCAAAAATAAATAAGAATAAGCTTAAAAATAATAATAATTAAGTATTATAATCCATTGTATGGGCCTTGTGACCTCTGAATAGGAATTCTCTTAACAATCTCTTACCCTGCAACAACAGCTTCATGTCTTTTTTTATTATTGTCATCATATTTTTAAACAAAAGAAAAAACGTTGAAACTGGAGGTACCTTTCATCTATGTGACGTGAACATAGATCACAGAGCCCATTGTCAATTAATTGCAAAGCTTGATCAGCAGTTACTATGAATCGAATTTTCTACGAATTGAGCAGAACTGCAAACGACCAAGCAACGTTTTAAAACTCACCTTAATTCAACTCGAGGGAAGAGATAATTGTAGCCTCTGCTCACATACTGTATATCAAAAGAGCTCATGATTTAATTGTTCACGTACGAAGATCCCTTCGGAAAAATTGTCGGCGATCGTATAACTCGGTCCCAGTCTCAGGATCGAGGAAGGGCCCTCTCGTCTATCCCTTCAAGTGGGCAAGTAATTCATGGCAGTCTCCATATAGACTCCCTGATATGTTATCTCTTATACCTTGTATACCACTATATATCTTATGTGTACCCATGTTTACCCTAGTAATACTGTATACCCTGTATACCCCTATATAACCTGTTTACCCATGTTTACCCTAGTAATACTGTATACCCTGTATACCCCTATATATCCTGTTTACCCTTGATTACCCTAGTAACACTGTATACCCTGTATACCCCTATATAACCTGTTTACCCATGTTTACCCTAGTAATACTGTATACCCTGTATACCCTTATATATCCTGTTTACCCTTGATTACCCTAGTAATACTGTATATCCTGTATACCCCAATATAATCTGTTTACCCATGTTTACCCTAGTAATGCTGTATACCCTGTATACCCCTATATATCTTGTGTACCCATGTTTACCCTAGTAGTATTGTATACCCTACATACCCCTATATACCTTTTGCACCCATGTTTACCCTAATAGTACTGAATACCCTGTGTACCCCTATATAACCTGTTTACCCATGTTTACCCTAGTAATACTGTATACCCTGTATGCCCTTATATATCCTGTTTACCCTCGATTACCCTAGTAATACTGTATACCCTGTATACCCCTATATATCCTGTTTACCCTTGATTACCCTAGTAACACTGTATACCCTGTATACCCCTATATAACCTGTTTACCCATGTTTACCCTAGTAGTACTGTATACCCTGTATACCCTTATATATCCTGTTTACCCTTGATTACCCTAGTAATACTGTATATCCTGTATACCCCAATATAATCTGTTTACCCATGTTTACCCTAGTAATGCTGTATACTCTGTATACCCCTATATATCTTGTGTACCCATGTTTACCCTAGTAGTATTGTATACCCTGCATACCCCTATATACCTTTTGCACCCATGTTTACCCTAATAGTACTGAATACCCTGTATACCCCTATATAACCTGTTTACCCATGTTTACCCTAGTAATACTGTATACCCTGTATACCCCTATATATCCTGTTTACCCATGTTTACCCTAGTAATACTGTATACCCTGTATACCCCTATATATCCTGTGTACCCATGTTTACCCTAGTAATACTGTATACCTTGTATACTCTTGAATATCCTGTTTACCCATGTTTACCCTAGTCATACTGTATACCTTGTATACCCCTATATATCCTGTGTACCCATGTTTACTCTAGTCATGCTGTATACCCTGTATACCCCTATATATCTTGTGTACATGTTTACCCTAGTAATACTGTATACTCTGTATACCCCTATATATCCTGTGTACCCATGTTAACTCTAGTGTCTCTGTATACCCTGTATACCCTTGCTTATTCTGTTTACCCATGTTTACCAAAGTCATTCTGTATATTAGCGGAGAATTCTTCTCAAGACCACCACATAGCATATACTTATCGACGAACTCCACTTCTTGGTTTGGAACCTGTGCTATCTGATTGGATTAAGTCAGTCTTTTGTGACCAATAGAACCCAAGCTGTGTGTATAGGTAATATCCTGTCTGAGTGGAAACACACCCATGGTGACATACCAGGAACTAAGATGGGCGTGCCCCTGTTCCCAATTTAGATAAATGGACTCAATACTAGATACGTCCTACAGTTTTCATTAGCGATTTGAATTTTGCTTGTTAGAGACAGGCGCATTTTTTTATTGAACATAAGATGAAGTTAAATCATAAACAAATGGTTATAAATTTCTGAAATATCCCAATAATACCCTACAGCCTATTTGCTTTGGAAACCATCAGTTAGAGCGGCGTGTTTCGACATGTAAAAAACTTGGTGTAAAAATTAGGCTTGATCTTGCATGGAACTACCACATTGACTATATTTATGGTAAAGCCGCCAAATGATTGTATTCCTTAATTTTGCTTAAAAGAGCTGTTGTAGCTGGCAGAAATATTACCAATATTAAAAGTGCTCTGTGAGATCATTTATACTTGCATATGCTGTCCCGGCATGGCAAGATATTCCTGAGACCTTAACTGTTGTTCTTATAAATAAAACGAATTCTCGATATTTTGAGGGCGTTTTTAGTAAAACAATTACTCTACTTGCGCTTTTTGGATATGACATTATTAAAGCAAACTCGTCGCTACGCGCCTGGTTGCCTACAACCATCTCATTGCATACGCGCACTCGTGGAATAATTGTTAATAAAATCTCCTGTTTAGTTATACTCTGCAATATTCTGTTTACCCATGTAAACTCTAGTATTCTGTATACCATGTTTATCCTGTTTACTCATGCACACCCTATAACGGTTGACTCTATGACAATATGTCGATATGGCAAGAAACCAGTGTCCGTTGTAGGCATTAGTGGGTAAGTGTGAAATAAAGATGTATGTATTTCTTGGGCGATTATCCGTGGAGCGGCGTCTGACCTAACTGAATCATTGAAATGAGCATATTTCAGCGTACAGTTGGTATAATTAAACAAAAAATATTAATTGAAATTGAAATACGCTATTTGTAAGAGTAAATGTTAAACACGGTTGCTGTTTTCAGAGGGTAAAACAAAATAAACATAAAAAAAGAAGAAAAGGGAGAGGATGACAAAGAAGAAGATGATGATGATGAAGTTGTTGTTTCCAAAATCACAAGTCCTGATTGAACAAAATTAGCTATCACGACTTTTGCTTGTCGATAGAGAGTATAGAACGAATCTTCCAGCTCTGCTCCATTTTATAAGGGAATTTTTTTTTGATAATCTATACTAACAGTTTCCACTTTATATTCAATCAGATGGAAACATAGACCACAATGTATGATCAACGAACTTTATTGGTTAGCAGATCAAACTGTTGGCTAACCCCGATCTCACTGAAAGACTGAGTGATCTGAAAGGCGATTTTATTTTACTAGGCAACTGACTACTACATAGACAATTAAGGGGTGTGTTGCCCATTGCCCATCACATCCTCGCGTGATTTTGTTGCCTTACAAGAATAATATGACTTTCACACAATAAGCCTTTAAAATTATTATTTGGATTCTTAAAACAA